ATGGATCCTCTGCAGTGAATGGGGGCCGTCAGAATGGCATACATATTTGTTTAGAACTGTTTTGGACTGTTTTTCATGACTTTTTCCCTGGAGAAAGCAGTATTATTTGTGGATTATTGTGATGTTTTTATCAGCTGTTTGGACTCTCATTCTGACGGCACCCATTCACTGCAGAGGATCCATTGGTGAGCAAGTGATGTAATGCTACATTTCTCCAAATCTGTTCCCATGAACAAACAAACTCATCTGCATCTTGGATGGCCTGAGGGTGAGTAGATTGTCAGCAAATTATAATTTTTGGTGAGTCATTCCATTAACTCTATTCTCTGAGTAGAGCTGACTTGTTTTTCTTGACATAATGTTGCTGGACGTCACTGAGGTTTTGTCAGATTTACTTTAGGGGTCAGTTTTAGCTCACACAAATTTAATGGCTTTTGATCTAGTCAGCAAACAACTGAAGAGTGACAGAGGAACTGAAGTTTTTATCTCTCATCACACAAAAGAGTATTTTTTCATATTAAACAGATGAGCTCGTTTCATCATTTTGATTTGTGAAGTGATGGCGTTTAATCTCTCGCTAATATTTATTCGGCGGATCCGTGTTTGGGTGGTGAGCGGGCCAGTCTTTCTTCTGAGAGACTAATGGATGGAAAACAGGAAAGATGAGTAGAAAAGAAGTGTCATTAAGAACAATAAAGAGAAGGAGATGTGATATATGAGGGGAAATAGAAAGAGAGAGAGAAGGAGATCATAACAGAAGCGATAGAAGAACTTCTTAGGTGGATAATTTTTTGAATACTCTCTTTCTAATATGATTTACATGTTAATAAAACCAGTTGCTCATGGCTATAATATACCTACTGTCTGAAATCATCAAATAATTTACTGGAGATATAGAGAAACGCTAAACCACATCTAGATATATTAATAATGAATGAGAGACTGAGAAAATATCAAGTGTGAAATAGAGAGACTTAAATTAAAAAAGGAAAATGTTAGAGAAAAAAATGGTAGGAAAGTGAATGCAAATATATTTAATATATTAATATATAATACATTAGATTTAAGTGTAAATTATACACGAGTGAAAGCGTATCTGCATGAATCAAAATCTGCTCATCTTTCACCTCAAAATCATAATAAAGAAATGTATATTTATATTTTACATGAAGAAAATGAAACCTATTTTTAGGACCTATGTATGTATTTATTTATAATATAAATGTGAAAGAGTGAAAGAGTATCTGCGTGAACCTTACAAAATCTGCTCATAATTACACCCTAAAATCATAATAACAAAAAAATATATTTATATTTTATATGAAGAAAATGAAATCTATTTTTAGGACCATTATTTATTTAGCATTGTGGCATTTTTCAAAATAATTAACTGCATTTTACCCCAAATGTACTGTATTGTAATGTGAAAAGCATAATAATATATCATTTTAATTGTAAAATATTTATAAATCATAGTTTGTTTTTTATTGTTTGAATAAAACAAAAATACAATACAGCAGTGATAATCTATTAAGAATTACAAATAAACTCAAAAGTAATGTATCCAAATGCATAACAATGAGAATTTGGACTGAAAATATGCTTACAAATAATCACAATGTAAACCTTAGTACTTTTGTTGGCGATTTATATTCCAGCATCGGCACAGACGCAACCCGTTTAAATATTCAGAGCGACACGGAGGGAGTGAGACCTTGACTCTGTCCACTCGATGAGTTCAGCATTAAAACACTAACATTTCAGCAACATCACAAAACAAATCCATTATTTAACAGAGCCTCTGTTCTTCTGTTCTCCAGCGTCACTCCATCTGATTCACTGAGTGATTCATCACCTTCATTCTGCAGTCATTCAGCTCATGAATGCAGCTCTCAGTTAAAAACGGGTGCAGAGGGAATACAAATATTTTGTGCACAAGTAAGCACAATCACAGAAGTGTTGAATTGAAGACTTGCTGAAGTTCTCCTGCTTCTCGGATGTTGCTCGTGAGAAAAAGACCCCAGTAATCTCATGTTTCTGCTCTAGAAGAAATCACAGCAGGTCTCAAACGGCTCAGATTTTCTAAGATACAAATGTTTGCAAACAAAAGTCTCTGTCTGTGCATCCATCCATGTCACAACATTTCTCAGTTGTTTCTGCACTGAAAAAAGGGTCATTTATTTAAAGTGGATTTTTATATTGGTCTAATCGAAAACCATGGTTTAAACGGTTTAAACCTGTTTTGTTTAGTTTGCTAAGAAATTTTTTTTTTTTTTTTTTTAATTAAACATAACAGAACATATAATTCATATTTCAGAAAGCACATTAAAAATCACAATAAACATTAAGGTCTTTCAAAGTTGTCTTTATTTATAAGTAAATTAAACATTAAATTAAATTAATTAAAATGTAGCTTTTCACTGCAGAAATTATTTTCTTTGTATTTTTGTCTTGTTTTCTATTAAAATATCTAATAATTCTTAAATCAAGATACATTTATTTGAGAAGCAAAATGACTTAAGATTTTAAGCTTTAAGATTTTCTTAAAAAAACATTAAAATTAAGTGACTTTGCTTAAACAAACAAACAAAACAATATCTGTCAATGGGGTAACAAAAAAAAGAAAAGAAAATTGTTTTCCCTTTGAATTAAGTTTATTTTTCCGAACCCACTGACAGATACTTTTTTCTTGTTTTAAGCAAAAACTTACTTAATCTTAAACTTTTTTTTTTTTTTTTTCAGTAAACAAGGCTTAATATCGTATTGAATTGATAATGTGTAGATATTTGTACTGGAAAACTTTTTTTTTTTTTGTGGTGTGTTTATGGTTGTATTAATATTATAATATGAATATAATATGTATTAAATCTGACATTTTTGCTTTTGTATAAAGAACATATATTGATTATAGTGTGGTATATGGTATACTTTGTATGCTTTTGTCTTTGTGGAAAAAAAAAAGTAGATTTTTAAGTGAACTGTAATCGAGAACTTTCCTTAGTATTGTGATCTGAGCAATAATGTTCCTCTGCTCTGTGTTTGTTGACAGGGTTGAGGAGAGCTTTAAGACTCTGTTCTGGTCTATATTCGGTCTGTCGGAGGTGATTTCTGTGGTTCTGAAGTATGATCACAAGTTCATCGAGAACATTGGTTACGTTTTATACGGGGTTTATAACGTCACCATGGTGGTGGTTCTTCTCAACATGCTGATCGCAATGATCAACAACTCATACCAGGAAATTGAGGTACGAATTTACTGCAAAAAAATACTGATTCTGAATCTTACTGAAGTCTTGGTTTCACAAAAAAAAAAAAAAAAACATATCTAAACCTGCTTAAAGCAAATGATTGAATGAATGAAGCAAAGCAAATTATATATATATACATATATATAATGATAGTTGCAGTTGCAGTTCCTTCTGCAAAGGATAATATATATATATATATTAAAAATACATTATAAAAAATTATAATATATTTATAATTAAAAATAAAATTAAAGAGAAACATACTTTTCAAATTAAAACAATGAGAAAAACTCTTGAACACTAAAAGTATATTTTATATAAAATATTTGTTCATTATTTGTTTACCTGCATATCAACATACTGTGCACCTGTAATGAAATGTTAACTTTAAAATCTCAGATGTACTTTAACTAACCTATTTGTTATTTACTGCAAAAAATACTGATTCTAAATCTTTCTGAAGTCTATCTAAACCTCCTTAAAGCAAGATAAATGTACCTGACAGTTATACTTATACTATATACTGTATATATGACAATCTGTTAGATTACACATTTTACGTAATATATTCAGACTACTTTTTGATTACTTTTAGGTTACTTTTGACCTTACTCGCTTATCAGGTTTATTATTTTGTACCATATTGATATAAAATATGAAGAGAAAGAAAATATTTTCCATTCTTTGTCATCAATGGCATGAAGTGCATTACGCATTACTTTAAATCAGGATTTGTGAGTTGATAAATCTCTCGATCTCTGCAGGAAGACGCTGATGTGGAGTGGAAGTTTGCTCGTGCTAAACTCTGGTTGTCATATTTCGATGAGGGAAGGACGCTGCCTGCCCCATTTAACCTGGTGCCCACTCCAAAATCCTTCTACTACCTGATCATCCGGGTCAAGTCCTGCCTTATACGACTGTGTAAGGGCAAAGGTCATCGGCATGACAACGAGCTGGAGATGGGAATGCTCAATTCACGGCCGAAGGTAAAACACATACTGCACACTAAAAGTGTCTACTTTTATATTATTTTGAACATCATTTAAGTTCCTCATGCACTGTAGATGTAATTTTGTCTTTAAACTTGTGCCGGTTTAATCTGTCTCACAGCGGATCTGAAGGTCTCGTCTGATTTCCTGATGTCTCAGTTCTCTCTCGTCTGCAGTTTTGTGTCTTCAAAACTGATTTGCAGCTGCAGATGGACAGAAAGACTTTGATTAAGATATTTTAAATGGAAATGATCCTGACAGTGAAACTCAATCAAGTGTCATTTAAAGTGTCGCTGCATTTCCGAAGCTCACAGAAAATTTCTAAAGAGAACCAAGGCTGAAAACGGAATAGAATTTACTAAAACAGAATGAAAAAATATTTAATTTGATATATCATAAATATAAATAATACATCATGTATATAAATAATAAATAATTGAAGTTGTACAAATAAGTGTAATATATATAGAGAGAGAGAGGGAGAGAGAGAAATATAATAAATAATATATATGTGACCTTGGACCACAAAACCAGTCATAAGTGTCAATTTTTCGAAATTTAGATATATACATCATCTGAAAGCTGAATAAATAAGATTTCCATTGATGTATGGTTTGTTAGGATAGAACAATATTTTTTAAAGTTGTCCAAATGAAGTTCTTAGCAATGCATATTACTAAACAAAAATTAAGTTTTGATATATTTACGGTAGGATATTTACAAAATATATTCATGGAACATGATCTTTACTTAATATCCTAATGATTTTGGCATAAAATAAATTTTGATATTGCTACAAATATACCCCAGCGACTTAAAACTGGTTTTGTGGTCCATGGTCACATGTTATGATTATGAACATGATTATTGTAGTATTGGTATGTAGTTATTTTTGTTTAAAATGTAATGCAGAAAAAAGGGTTTATATGCATATTACATAACCAGGTGGTAATGCCTATTTTTACCTTTAATTAATACCTTACAAATGAAGTGTACTTCATCTCTTTTGATCATTTTCTCCTTTTATTTGGAATGTAATGTGCATAAAACCAATAAATCAGCTTATTCATAACTAATGAATGATCACCATACAATCAGTTTCACATTACGAAGACTCAAAGCAGAAATGCATTATAAATATGATTAGATTCTGTTGTAAAATCATGTCAGTTGAATTAGAGAATGTTGATTTTTTTCAGACTGATCGTCATCGAGCAAATCTCAGGAGCCGAGAGGAGAACACCATCAAGAAACCCATCAAAAACCCCACAAGATATCAGGTGAGAGACTCAACAAACCATCAGTGGCGGCTCGTGGGTTTTAAAATAGAGGAGGCACACTAATTGCATTGGTCTGGGATCCCAGCCGATTACTATTATTATTATTATTATTATTTGCTTAACCACTTTAAAATGGCTTTTAGGTTGCTTTTTGTCAGAAAACGTAAAGAAAACGACACACATACACAGGGCCGCATTAAGACCGCACTGGGCCCCGGGGCTATGACTTACTGCAGGGCCCCCCATCACAATAATGA